CCCCCCAGGAAACCGATAACCCCCCACCCGCCTCCCTTCCCTTCCCGCCTCCTTCCCGCCTCCTTCCCGCCTCCCTTCCCTTCCCGCCTCCCTTCCCTTCCCGCCTCCTTCCCGCCTCCCTTCCCTTCCCGCCTCCTTCCCTTCCCGCCTCCTTCCCGCCTCCCTTCCCTTCCCGCCTCCCTTCCCGCCCCTTCCTCCCGGGCCCCGCGGTTCGCAGGAAGCTCTGCCCTTGGTTTTATCTATCAGCATGAGCTCAGAGAAGAACAACATGTTCACTGCCACTGCATGCGTGCCCGCACACCTTTTCCCTTCGCTGCTGCTCAGTACCTCAAGCCGAACCCCCTCCCGCCGCCCAGCACAGGTAACCAAACACCTGGCAGCCCCGCTCCCGCCCCGCACGGTAAGGGTTTGTCCACCAGAGGTCACGCAAACCCTGACGATGCCGCAGGACTTGTAAATAAGCCCGTTCCTTTCGTAAGAATCATTTCTGTTTCATTTAAGAGCAGAATTTCCGTTTAACTTGCCACCTGTTGCCTTCGCGAGCAACCCGGTGTGTCCCCAGCTGCGCAAACCTCAAACAGAAAGAGAAAAGTAACTGCGTTCGTTTTCCCGGGAATAGCCCGGGGGATCCCAAAGCTGTGAAGGGGAACACGCTGCAGGGTAACTCCCTCTGCAGGTGTTGTTCCTGTCAAAACAACTCCCCAGGACTGGTGCCTGCACGAATGTCTGGGCAGCGCATTTTTGTCAATTGTTTGCAGGAAGTAGGAATCCCTGTTTAAATTTGTAACTGGAAAACAACCCTCTGATCATCCATCTGGCAGATGGAGATGGGCTGAGGCAGGGGGGGAAAAAGCCTTGGGAGAGTGCTGAAAGCAAGCCCAGTCTTTAGAGATGAAGCCTGTTTTGTAGCAGAATCCTGATAGATCCTGGTGGCGTCTCCCTGGAGGTGGCTGCTGTCAGTCCCTAAGAGGAATGCAGAGAGCAGAAAAACATGAAGGGTCATCCGTGTTTGGTGGCCTCCTGATCCAGCGTGGGATTAGCGCCACAGAAGTCACTTCGGTGCTGGGGTCTGTTTTGGTAGCTCTGGGATTTCTCCGGGTTGGCAGCAGCACGTTGAGTCACTCCTTGTTCCTGCTGGAAGGGGATTACTGCGTGTTGGTGATTCTGCACAACTGTGAAGGCCTAGAAAAGAGACTGTGGCCCTTGGGATTTACAGACCATGTGTTCCAGAAGCCTCAGCGAGGGGCCTGAAGCATGCACCTGTGGGAAGAGTGTTCTTTTGCTTTGCAGGTTCTTAATTTGTCCTGTGCAGTGCTAGCAGTTCTCCAGGTCTGTGATGTCCCCGTGTCTGGGCAATTCCTCCATTGGTGGTGACAGCCACTTCAGAAATGCCACATTGCAAACATACCTAAAGCTGTTTTGGAAAGTCTGGACCCAATGTCAGGCACACACACACACCCACACACACACACCCCCAAGGTGGGGTAGCTCTGCACTTTGATATCCACAAAGCTGTATTGAGTTAAACTTTGCAATATTGGATTATTGTGCATCCCCTTTTCTCTGGGGATGGGATCCGGCTGGGGAAAACTCACCTCACACCAGTATTTACTAGATACTGTGTTTTTATTATTATTAATCTGTTATTAGCAGCAGGGGCTCATTTCACACTGCATTCACTTATTGCCTCATGCAGTTCACCAACACGTGCACTACCTGCTGCCCGGGTAGAGGAAGGGTTGGGAGACCAACCCCAGCTGTTACATAAAAGCAGAGGCATGTATTGATGTGCCAAGGGCTTTGAGGTTTGGCGTTCAGGAAGTCCCTCCAGGTGATTCGTTTTATCATATATATGTGTGTGTGTGTTTTATATATTTAGATAGAGAGATAAAGAGAGAGAGAGAAATATAATGTTGTAGTTTTGAGTATAGCATGTAGCCTGTGTTGTACAGCCCAAGGTTGATGCTTGTGGATTTGGACAGATTTGGCAGAGTCTTAGTGTTCAGCATTTACCAGTGTTTGAGGACAGGACTGCTGGGTCTCTGGAGCTTATCAGTTCTTGACAGATTTCCACATCCTAATGCTTGGCACACACTTTCCCTCTCTTTTGCCTGCTGTTTTCTGGTACCTGTTTCTCCAGCCACACATGTGCCTGTGGAGCCATTCACAGAAACTCACACAGAGGGGGCTTTTATGACA